CCCCCAGGTTTTAAGACTGCTTTCTCTCACCCATCCAGGGAATAGACTGATTCTAATTACAGTGATCAAATCTTATGTGGGGCACTGTGAACTTTGCTTTAGTTACTACACAGAGCCTAAACGAAAGCACCCGGTGAGGTGATAGCCAGCTGAGATGAGCACACAGAGCAGGATGCAGAAGGGTTCCCAGCTCTGACGCCTCCTGCCCACCCTGCTACCAGCCCTTAACCACTTCATGGTTGGTCTTTGCAGAGATAATTGTGTGCAGGCACATGGATTTCGCATATACTTTTGTTTTATACAAATGGTAACAAAATGCACATACTATTGAACACCTTGACTTTTTATTTAAAACTAGAGGCCTGGTCATTGAAATTCATGCAGGGGGCGGGGGTCCCCTCAGCCCAGCCTGCACCCTCTCCAATCCGGGACCCCTCGGGGAATGTCCGACAGTCGGACATCCCTCTTACAATCTGGGACCATAGGTTCCTAACTGCTCACCTGCCTGCCTGCCTGTTCGCCCCTAACTGCCCCCACTGCTGGCCTGGTCACCCCCAACCTTCCCCCCTGCCGGCCAGGTCACCCCCAACTGCCACCCCGGCAGCCTGGTTACCCCTAACTGCCCCCCCCCACCAGCCTGGTTGCCCTTCAGTGCCCCCCTCTACTGGCCTGGTCACCCCCAACTGCCCCTCTTGCCGGCTTGGTCGCCCCACACAGCCTGCTGTTCAGTCGTTTGGTCGCTCCTCACTGCCCCCCCGCCAGCCTGGTCGCCCCACACAGCCTGCTGCTCAGTCTTTTGGTCAGCCCTCACTAACCCCCCCTGCCAGCCAGGTCGCCCCATGCAGCCTGTTTGGTAGTCCGTTTGGTTGTTTGGGTTGCGACGGTCACTTAGGCTTTTATATATATAGATAGGTAAAAAATCATGATAAAAAGAGTAATAGGAAATTTTCCTTCCTTCCATTTTTAAGTCCAGCCATATTACCTGTATTTACATTGCTGTGGAACAGATGTCCAGGAATTTTCCACTGTGTAAACCGAAACCGTGTACTTACTCAACAGTGCCCCTCCCCTTCCCCCTTATATTTAGAAAAAGTTTTAATTAAAAATTGTCACCAAAAGAATATTTAAGAATGTATGTAGTAGCCCTGGCCGGTGTGTCTCAGTTGGTTGGGCGTCATCCCGTGCACTGAAAGGTCACTGAAAGGTGGTTCGATTCCCAGTCAGGGCACATGCCTAGGTTGCGGGTTCAATCAAGGTGTGGTGGGAGGGAGCAACTGATAAATGTTTCTCACATCAGTGTTTCTCTCTCTCAAATCAATTAAAAATAACTTATAAAAGGAATGTATGGAGACACCTTTCTCTTGTTTAACGGTTTATCACAGAGCTTGTTTCATATCAGCATATATGGGGCTCACCCTTTTCATTGCTGTAAAGTGTTGTGTTTTATGGAAGTGGCATAATTTATGTAATTACTTCCTCATGATGGGCTTTAGATCATTTCTGATCTTGTCCTACTGACCGGAGGGGCTGACTTTGACCTCTGTGGGCACCTTGATTAGGTGGGTCTCTGGCTTGTAGTGTGATTTGATTTTGTTTCATGATCTTTGTTGAGAAACTTCCTCTGTGGTGGGAGAGTTGCTCACTGGTCTTTGCGATGATTTTGGTACTAATAACTCACTTTCATTGAACGCCAGGTGCTCTGTAAGTACTTAGACTCTTTTCATCTTTCCAGCTAACCGGGGTGGAGAGAGGAGATCACTGTCTTCGGACCCCAGTCAACCCATTGGTCTGCGTGCTGCTGTGACAGCTATGGCTGCTCTTAGTTTAGCCACTTGCTTTATGTTACGCTTTCTGTTTTTAGTGTGTTTTGTTTATGTATTAATTTGTTAACACTCAGGCTTGGTGTTCTCTTTGCATTGCATTGGGTGTGTATTCTTTCTAATAACTTGTGTTTTTAAAAAATCTTTATTATTGAAAGTATTACATATGTCCCACTTTCCCCCCCATTGACCCCTTCTAGCCTGCCCCCACACCTTCCCCTTCCCCCCACTCCAGACCAATCTCAGAGGGAAGGTGGGGATGGGGAGAGATCAAAGAACTTGTATGCATATATGCATAACTAATAATTTGTTTTTAAATGTAACTCAAATTTCAAGTAATACATTGACCTGTGTTTGTTTAGCGATGATTACTTCCTGCCGTGATCAGTGACCAGACTGGCTCATCCTCACAGTTTCGTCCCTTGTCCTTGCCTCTGCCACCCGCTTGTGATTGAGTTTGTCACTGAACTTACTCTAAAACTAACATTGGTGACTTTCTGTATGTTAGTGCCTCTGATACTTTGTTAGGTTAAAGCAGAACCTTTTGATTCCATCATAAGAGGATATCAGTGTCTTTATATTCCCTCTTTTTTGTCTACATCTCTCAATTTGATATTATTGCTGTTTAAATTGACGACATTTGCATTCTGTCCAGTAACTGTGATTCTCAGAAAAGAAAAAACTTACACCTTAACTGGATTACATGCGCATTGTCAGTTTTTTCTGTACTTCTGCACTCTTCTTGTTTGGCTCACGTTGATCTTCTAATAGTTCCTTCATGCAGGGCTCATGGGAACCACTTCTCCAAGTTCTCAAATGTTTAAAGAGACTTGTTTTTGCAACATACTCGATTGACAATGTGGTCAGATATAGAATTCTTGGGTCGTAGCTTCCTGCTGTATAGACTGTGAGTGAGCCCTTATGTCTCGGTGGTAAACGTAGGTATGCTAATGGCCAAGGCTGGTGTGCTTTTCCCACTTTAAGGTGTCTGCTGGAACTGCCATAACAAGCACCACCAGCTCGTGGCTTCCACACACACGCTTGTTTTCTCAACTTGGAGGCTTAAGGCCCAAGGTCAAGGTGCCGTGAGGGTTGGCTGCTAGAGGCCTGTCTTCCCAGCTTGTAGGTGGCCACCTTCCCTCTGTGCCTCACATGGTCTTTCTTCTGTTCACGTGAGAGAGAGCTGCCTGGTGTCTTCCTTTTCTAATAGACATTATCCTGTTCAATTAGGGCCCCATCCTGTGACCAGTTAACCTCAGTTACTTTCCTAGAAACCCCATCTCCAAATACAGTCACACTTGGGTTTGGGGGTTCAACATGTGAATTTTTGGGGACATAGTCCAGTCCATAACAAAGGGTGATGTGAGTTTCTTTTTTTTTTTGGCCAAAAGGCCTGGATAATTTTTATTTATTGTTTTTTTTTTCTTTTGCAGCTTTAAATATGTGATGTATACCCATACTTATTGACATGGAAAAATTCACATCATACCACTGAATGGCAAAAAGCAGGTTTATTATTTTTTAAAAAAATATTTTTATTGATTTCAGAGAGGGAAGGAGAGGGAGAGAGATAAAAACATCAGCGATGCCCTAGCTGGTTTGGGTCAGTGGATAGAGTGTCAGCCTGAGGATTGAAGGGTTCCGGATTTAATTCCAGTCAAGGGCATGTACCTCGGTTGCAGGCTCCTCCCCAGCCTGTGGTTGGGGCACATGCAGGAGGCAACCAATCAATGTGTTTCTCTCACATGGATATTTCTCTCTGTCTTTCCTTCTCTCTTCCACTCTCTAAAAATCAGTGGAAAAGTATCTCTGGGTGAGGATTAAAAAAACCAAAAAAAACCACATCAGTGATGAGAGAGAATCATTGATCGGCTCCCTCCTGCACACACCCTACTGGGGATCGAACCCTCAACCCAGGCATGTACCCTGACCAGGAACCATTGAGCCATACTGGCCAGGCTATTCTTTTTATCTTTCCGTAATCCTGTCATTTCCTCCTATTTGGTCATGGCTATTATTTTAAAACTAGAGACCTGATGCACGAAATTCATGCACGGGCCTAGGCCCCGGCCCCCGCCCGCCGCCACCACAGCTGGGGGCCTCTGGTGCCGCTGCCTCAGCCCCCACCCTCTGCTGCTTTGTCTGGAAGGAAGGACGCCCAGAAGGATGTCCGGTCTAATTAGCATATTATGCTTTTATTATTATAGATAGATATTTGAATTTTTTGAAATGTCTTTGATCTTTATCTGCTTTATTTTTATATTTTTCTGGGGAAGAGCCTTTTGTCTGCCATTTGTTTTTCCTGTGACTTTTCTCCTTTTCTTTAGTTTTTTTTATATCTTTGCCTAGTTTCTTTCCTCATCTTTGAATGAGGAGAGTTCTTCCTGGACTAGCTGTGTGTGTGGTTTTGGCCGGGGTAGGGGGAAGGGGGCAGTGTGGGTGAAGCGGCTTCTCTCTGGGGTTCTGCCTCGCAGCTGGAGGCAAAGGCGTTTGTCTGAGCTTGCTCTGGGCTCTGGTGGCAGGGGGTTTGGCAGGTCTGCGGCTGTCCCGCTTAATCGGCTCTTGCTCTAAGCAGGGCTGCCTGCCTGTGCTCTGGAGAACTCTGCCCTTCCTCTGAGATCTGAAGTCCCTGGTGATCTCCCGGTGCCTCACTGTCTTGGTTGAGTGTTTCTTGCCTGTGGCAACTTGCTGCAGGTTAGTCTCAGGCGGTTCAGGTGTTATGTTATCAAAGATCAAGCTTTCTTCTCCCTAACTGACTCGTTCTTGGTCTGGGTGGTCACAAAGGGCAGCATTGTTTAGAGAGGTCTTTACTTTGCATCTTCCAGGTTCTGAGCCCCACAGTCAGGTTTCTTCTTTCTTTTTTTAAAAAAATACGTTTTTATTGATTTCAGAGAGGAAGGGAGAGGGAGAGACAGAAACATCAATGATGAGAGAGAATCGTGGATCTACTGCCTCCTGCACACCCTCTGCTGGGGATTGGGCCTGCAACCCGGGCATGTGCCCCGACCCCCAGGTTCATAGGTCGAAGCTCAACCACTGAGCCACACCGGCCGGGCCAGGTTTCTTAAGGAACCACATTGGTTTCGCCATCTGCAAAGGGAGGGACCTACAGCATCCTGATGATCATGCAATCACATGAAATCTGGGCGAATACTGAACACAGTGACTGCTTTCTTACAGACAGAACCTCCGCTGAACACACCAGAAAATAGAGAATATCTTGCAGAAATTATGTTTGAATCTTTTAATGTACCAGGACTCTACATTGCAGTTCAGGTAAAAGCAAAGTTATTTTTATGATTCCCACAGGACGGCATGGTGATTCCAGAGGCTCTCTGTTACAAGATGGGGCTGTGTGTTCTTCCTTTTTCCTTTCCCTCAACACACACACAACACATGGAGACACAGACACACAGAAGGACAGACACACACATTCACAGACACACAGACACAGGACAGACACATTCGCAGACACACACACATTCACAGACACACAGACACACACACAGAGGGACAGACACACATACTTACACACACCCTACTCCGCATTCATCTCAGACCAGGGTTCCCAGCTCAGGGTAGGACGGGCAGTTCTCTGTGCGGGGGCTTCCCGTGTAGAGCAGAACGGTTAGCAGCCTCTGGCCTTGACCCCCTAGAAATAGCACCCGCCTTGTCTCCCCAAGTGTGACAGACACGGCACCAGGCCTCCCCAGTGTCCCGGGGGCAGACGGCTCTGGTGGGGAACCAGTATCCGGTGTGAGGCCAGTGAACTGCAGCTGTCTGTGGACCCACACCGGGAACGGTGGGTGAGAAACACCCCCCCCGGACTCCATAGTAAAATCCCGACCTCACTGGCTTTTTGGGGGTAAAAATTGATTTATTTTATTGAAAACTTGAGTCCTCCAGTTTAAGTACACATGGTCCTTGTCCAGGTTGGGATTTGAATTTTGGGGGGAGGTGAAGGAGGGAGAGGGAGAGTTAGCCGCAGTCGGGGAGAAGGACCGATTGCTTGACCTGAGCATGAGCGCGCAGAGGACCTGAGGCCGCTCCCCGTGCTGACGGCTCGTGTCCTGTCCAGGCAGTGCTGGCCTTGGCCGCGTCGTGGACGTCTCGGCAGGTCGGTGAGCGCACGCTGACAGGCATCATCATCGACAGCGGGGACGGGGTCACCCACGCCATCCCAGTGGTAAGCAGACTGGTCAGTGCTTCTCTTTGCAGGACTCACCTGATTGGAGGTAAGGGAACAATTAAAGGGAAAAAAGCTTTTCTGCTTAAAATACCACTTTTAAAGTCGTAGCTGTATTTAGACAAGGGAATAAGAGGAGAAAAAAATCCGTGGCCGTCGCAGTTTTAAATGTGCAGGGGCAGCTTCTGCTGTCGAACGGCAGCCATTGGGTGGGGTCAGCAGGACTCTGCCTTGCCCCTGGGGTCATGAGGTCATGGTCCCTGGGGGCTTTTCCTGCTCGCCTTCCGAGCCTGGGCCACCCAGAGGATCTCTCTGTTCCGGGACAAGACGTGGGTGGCTTTAACCAGCTCCTGCTCCGGACAAGGCGCTGCTGGGGTTTGAGAGTTTATGTGAGAGCTGAGAGGAGGGGTTGCACCTTTCAGTCTGCAGAGTGGTCTGCAGTGCCGCTTTTTGGTTTTACATTTCAGAATATTAGAGCAGTGATTCCTAATTGGGGCTCTAAGAGACTTCTGTTTCTCCCCCCACCCTCCATAAACTATTTAAACGAATTGTTTAAAGTTGTTTTTGAAAAGAAATGGAAACTCTCTGGAGAGGGTGTCCAGGGGAGAGTCGCCTGGCTCTCATTCCTGATCGCCAGGCCCTCCTCCCAGATGCAGCCCGTTACCGGTTATCCACGTTTGTTACAAGCACGCTGTTTGTATATACAGGTGTCTGTGTGTATAACACCTTTGGGAAAGACAAACTAGGGCTTTTAAAAAACAAATCATTTACTTTCATTGAGAAATAGCATTTCGTTTCAGGAGGTCGCAGCTAGGATATGCTCACATGCTTTAATTCCTTCCGGGTCAGAACGCCAGGAACAGGGTAAAGGGTGGACGTGCCCCCAGCCGGGTGCCCTCCGCAGCAGGGTCCGGAGGGACGGGCAGGACTGCACGCGCCCTCCCGGTGTTCTCTGTGCTGGCAGCCCCGCAGCTGGCCTCACCCCTTGCTCCTGTAGGGCTGCTGAGGCGTGCCCGCGCTGCTGCCCTGGCCGTGAGAGCAGTGCTGACCGAGGGTCCCGGCGCCTGCCCCTTCCCAGGCCCTCCCCTCGGAGGCCAGTGCAGACGGACCCGCTGGGCGCGTGGGCCTGCTGCCCTCTCTCCCGTGTTTCCGGTTGAGGAGGAGAAAGGAAAACTGGTTCTCTCGGTGTCGAGGACCACAGAGAAAGTCGCTTTAACATTTTTGTCTGTATCATAATTCAGTGTTTTCCCAGAAAATTACGTGTTGCACAGAATTAGGGTGAAATGGAGAGATGTAAAGTAGGAAGTGGGATGCCCGCGAGCTGAGCCAGAGGGCGCGCCGTGGCTTTGGTTGCCTTTGGAGTCTCCTGAGCTCGTTTCCTAGACACAACGTGCGACGTTCTCAGCGAAATTGGAGCGTCCTGTGTCCGGTTCTGTGTCCTGATTGTACAATACAACCCTAACTTTACAGCTTGCCTACCGACTTACCCCTAATAGTGTTTCTTATGGCTGAGTATTCTGTGAAAACAGTAGCTATATAATAGCGCATCCTGGAGACTAGCCTAATTCACTTGTCTGCCTGTCCTTGGACGGGGGTGTCGAGTGTTCTGAATCTGAGACGAAGCTCATGTTAGTAAACACTGGCTGGATTACTTCTAGAAAGTGTTAGATGTGATGCATGGAGTATAATAATTGTGAATAGTTTGTGTTAGCTGATATTCTTATGACTGTAAGTTGATCTTTACTATTTTAATAATTTGGACATATCTTTTATCTCCCTCTTTTTTCCTCTTTCTTAAAATATTTTATAAATAACTTAGACTGTGGGAAGGCCACATCTTCTCTTACTTCCAGACGTTAGGCACATCAGGAAGAAACCTGAGGGGTCAGCAGCGTGTCCTCGCCTTCACGTGGCTCTGCCTGGTGGCTCTCACCACAGAGTGCAGTCAGCGGCCCCCTGCCGGGCCCTCTGTTTCCCAGGCGTGGGGCACGGAAGCAGGGCTGTCCTGGGGACTGGCGTGTCACGTCCTTGTCTGTGACACTGTGGTAGGAGGGACACTCTGACTGTCGGTCCCTGTCGGGCGAGCTGGGTGTGCCACAGCCTGTGGCTTCCCTGGAAGGTTGGGGAGGGGCTGGTGCTGGGCTATGGCCCGTTCCTGTCACCAGCAGACAGTGCCATGGTCCAGGAAGGCCCCCAGTGAGCAGGTCTGAGACACACAGTGTTAAGGGAACCACAGAATCACTCCTAGCCCCACACTTGGGGCTGTCTATTGGGTGCTTAGTAAATGGCCTCACAGTGCTAGTGCTGGGCTGCGTACTGCACTGACTCTGTATTGTACCCCAAGGGGTCATTTGCCCCGTACTGTGGGCAGAGGTCCTGGCGTGAAGCATGTTAAGATCCTTAAATACAAGTAGATTTATAGTTGGCTTAGCAGCTTACAGGTAAAACGCTTTCTGTTAAGGAACAGTTAGGTTGGATTCACGGTTCCGACACGCAGCATCTGTTTTTGGAATGTGGTTTTCCGAGCACGTTCCTGATGAAAGCACCGTTCTGGCTGCTTATGGGGGGGCCAGGTCATGGTAACGGGATTGGGAGTGCAGTCACTTTAAGGACCTCGCCCACGGAGCCATGTTGGGATCTGTAATTGTGTGTCAGGGCCGCCAGGGCAGGAGCCCCTGGGATTGCTCACAGTCTTCTGCCTCCTCTCTTCCCAGGCGGAAGGTTATGTAATCGGAAGCTGCATCAAACACATCCCGATTGCAGGTAGAGATATTACGTATTTCATTCAACAGCTGCTAAGGGAGAGGGAGGTGGGAATCCCTCCTGAGCAGTCACTGGAGACCGCAAAAGCCATTAAGGTAAAAACGGACGGGGAATGGGCTGGTTTGGGTGGAGGAGAAATGGGGCTGCACGCTTCCCCGCTGCCGTCACCCTGCGCCCACCTGCTTCCTCTCCCTGCTTCCTCTCCGTGAATGTGGGTCTTCATCTGTTTACCGCTGAGTTCATTGAGGGCTGAAAGACTGACAGCTCAGGCCCTTCCTCGGACATCAGCCGTGGAGGCTCCAGTGTAGATGAGAATGGCTTGATGGCCAGACTGAGCCTGTGCTACGGATGCAGCCTCACTTAATTGGAGCCTGATTAGGTAGGGCCTCCAGTTACCTGATCGCCTGCAGCTCCCTCCACGGTTGGACGGTTGGACGGTTGGACGGTTGGACAAGGCACTAGCAGCAGCAGCAGTGACGCCCGGGGTCCTGGGTATCGGCCAATGTCAAACTCGTTTCCCATCCCTGTTGTGTGTGGTTTGCACCCTCTTAACTGCCGTTCAGAACAAGTCATTCCAGGCTCTAGAGTCATGAAACACAGTCCACTTGTATTTTCTGGACTCTAGTTACCATGCTAAAAAAAGTTACAGGAAGTTTTAAAATGAAATCAATTCGATAAGAAGGAGCATGGCTTGTCAGGACATATTTAAGTGTTCACTTGACCAGTTTAGTCTGTTACCGTGTCCATTTCAGTTGACAAACCCTTTTAAGGGAACTTTTCTAGTAAAAATGCAAGAGATTCTTAGGAATGCAAGGATAACTATTATGTAGATCAGTGATGGCGAACCTATGACCCATTTTTTTGGTTGATTTTTCTTTGTTAAATGGCATTTAAATATATAAAATAAATATAAAAAATATAAGTCTTTGTTTTACTATGGTTGCAAATATCAAAAAATTTCCATATGTGACACGGCACCCGAGTTAAGTTAGGGTTTTTCAAAATGCTGACATGCCGAGCTCAAAAGGTTCGCCATCACTGATGTAGATGAAGAGAGAAGGATTTAGTTTGTTTTTGAAGAAGAATTTCGCGTGGGTGTGCCATGAGCTTGAGCATCTCCTGTCATTTTGAGCTTGAGGGGGAGTGAGGGGCGTTCCCCCACTGCTTTCCTTGGCTTAGTTCCCAGGAACCCTGCTGGTTGAAGGACAGGAAGCATCAGAGATGGCCCCACATTTGCATGGCACTCTGGGTAGCAACAGGGTGCACTGGTGTAGGTCAGGGCTCCGGCAAGCCAGGTGGCCAGCTGCCCTGCTGTCCTGGACCACGGTTTCCCGGGATGGGCACGCTTAACTGCACAGCACAGCCCCGGGCAGACCGGGACACTTAGCCCTTTCTAGCTGGGGAGAGTTTACCCAAGAATCATAGACTTTCTTTTTAGACTAAAATGCTTCCCAAGAATTCCCCTCTTCCTTTCCTTGCCTTTTTAAGTGAAAAAAAAAAAAAAAAAATTGGAGATTTGACCCAAGCTCTCTTGCCACCCCATATCTGTGACAAATGTCAATCAGAATGGAACCTCTTGTTTCTGACACTCAGGGGTCGAGCTGGTGAGCGTGAGTGTTCCCTTTCTCAGTCAAGATTCCTGAGTGGCATGGCTCAGGAGGTTGCGTTCTGGTCCTCACAGTGGCATTTGCTTTACTCACTGGCTTTCTGGGGTCCTATCCTGACCTTGAATTAGAGCTGGCTGTCGAGACTGCAGAGGTCAGGAGAAAAGAGACTCCTTTGGTGACGCTCTCGACATCAGCTGCACTGGCCCTGCTGGGTGGCGGTGGGCCCTGCCGTTGGTTCCCGCCTCACTTGTTTCTGTGAAGGCAGAGGCCCTGGGGAGTGTGGAGCAGAAGTGCCTGCCTCGTGTTACTGCCATGGCCGTGGCCTACGGGCATGAGCAGGCCTGAGGCTGTGTGGACTGTGGCACGCCGTTCTCATAGCGTGAGTCCAGAACTCGAGTCTAGGTCTGCACACGCCACCCACCTTCCCTTGAAGCCTTTCGTGCTGTCACTAGGCCAGTTGAGGTGCCGTTGGAAATTGAGCAGGCCTCTGAGGACAGCTCGATGCTTCTGTCTCCATTTGGTAGATTTAACTGTGTCGAATGGCTCACTCTCTGTTGTCAGGGAACACAGTTTGTATAAACAAACCCTGCCCACCAGTCTCACAATTCTGTTAGAGTGTCAAGGATGAAACTGGAATATGTTTCAGGGAGTCTAGGAAACTTCAAACTTCATAGCAGAAAACACCTTCAGAGGTTCTTCCAAAATGTGTACGAGTGCCCATGTGCTGCCTTCCCACCTGGGGTTGGGGGCACCATCTATGCAGGGAGTAGGACGGACCCAGCAGGTGCAGATCACCTGGAGACACCGAAGCCATTCTGGGTCCCTGCGTATTCCTGAGTGGGCATGGCTTGAGTGTCTCCGTGGTGATCTATAGCCGCTCTGTCAGTCTCGCTCCTTGTGTACATGGTGCCCCCCTCTGCTGTCTGCCCACAGGAAGCTGACTTTTGGAAGCTGGTACTTATGTGCCACCTGCAGCTTGACAGAGGTTAGCTCTAAGGACACGTGCCCACCCAAGGAGCCCAGTTGAGCATCGCCAGATTCAGAGGAAACATTGCACGTCTAGGCTCGTGGTTCAAGGTGAAAGCCACGGGCACGTTTGTGCAGCAGCAGCAGCCATAGTCCAGTCCTGCCTAAGTCTGCCTCTTCTTTTTCCATGGCCCCTACCACCCATAACCTGCTGTGTCACCTGCTTGTTATGGACTCTCGGCCAGAGCGCATGCCCCAGGGCCGGGATCTGTGTGTCTGTTCACTCGTGCCTCAGCGTGAAGACTCTCCGTGCAGCTGATGGCCGCGCTGTCCTGTCAGACTACACAGAGGGTAACAGGAGGCGGTGGCTGTGGCGGGCATCATGTTGTCTGCCTTATTCAGCGGGCGGGGCTGCAGTGCAGGCCAGCTGGTCCAGGGCCATGGTAGTGGGTACCCGGGGCAGGTGCCGTGTGGGCGCCTAAGAGAAATAAAGAAAGAGGTGATGGAGACAACATACTTAGTAGACACCTTGAAACAAGCAGCTTCACAGGTCCAGCATCAAAGCGTAGTCATGTCTTGTGTGAAGGATGACGACTGTGAGGCTTGGCATTAGGGGTGTGGGCAGGACTCAGTCCAGGGGCGTGTTCAATGCTGGGGTTACTGGGTGTTTGTCTGAGGCTCTGGGTTGGTTGTTAATGCCTGGTGACGTCTTTGTGTGTGTGCATGCAGGAGAAATACTGTTACATTTGCCCTGACATCGTCAAGGAATTTGCCAAGTACGACCTGGACCCCCGGAAGTGGATCAAGCAGTACACAGGCATCAATGCCATCAACCAGAAGAAGTTCGTGGTGGATGTGGGCTACGAACGGTTCCTGGGCCCCGAGATTTTCTTCCACCCCGAGGTGAGGTGCTTGCCTGTGGCGTTGAAGCACTTCATATGTGGAGGAACACTGCCACCTCGTGTGTGTAAAGCTGATTCTCAGCCACTGACTGCGGCTAAGTGAGGACACTGGTGCGCACAGGCCCTGTGACGGTCACAGCCCCTGGGCCGTCTGTCTGCGTGACTGACTGTGCCCCTTGCTCTCCATAGGCTTGATTATCTGTAAATAGCGAACCATTGATTATGCCACGAGTGGTTCGGAAGAAGTTTGAAGAGCAGTAGGAGATAATGGAATTGAAAGGAATCGCACACTAATATGAAAATGAGTTACTCTCAGGACCGCATGCAAGTTGCCTCTATCAGAGTGGATGATGTAACTGTTTCCTTTCCATCTTTTGTGATCGCCCTTCCTAACCCAGTTTCTAACCAGGACACCTGCCTGCCGCGGCCCCGCTGGTGCTTAGTTAAGGCTTGTGTCTGAGGGCTGTCTGTAAGAATCACAGCTATCGTCATTTTAGCTGGGAGTCACAAATTATTACTTTTGTGGAAGCAGTAATTAAGGGGCAGCATTTTAAAATCTAAATAAAATGCACTTAAAATATTTTGGTATATTTTCCTGCCTGATTCAGTTTGTATTTATTAGGAAGATTGCAAACTGCTACTTGTTTTTTTAGATGTGCATAAAACTGTTTTGTATTGGGAAATGGCACAAAACGTGTCCAGTATTGTAATCTAATAATATCATACTCCTCCACTCATGCCCTTGATATCAGTGATTGAAATAGACATAAAGCTGCCCATGCCCAGGGAACAGCTGGTGAGCAGCTGGATGTGACTTCCTCCCAGCAATAGTGTACATTTAGGCTTTCCTTCGACTTTTAACACATGTTTCAAATGGAATGTCAATGCTGTTTCCTCAGATTAAATTCCCTAAGTTAAATAAGCTAAAAATTTTTTATCCTTGGTTAATCCTCACCCAAGGATATTTTCCCATTGATTTTTTAGAGAGAGTGGAAAGGAGGGGGTGAGACAGAGAGAGAGAAGCATTGACTGGTTGCCTCCTGCACAGACCCAGGGCCGGGGATCGAGCCTGCAACTGAGGTACGTGCCCTTGACCAGAATTGAACCTGGGACCTTTCAGTCTGCAGGCCGACACACTATCCACTGAGCCAAACAACCAGGGCATTGTTACATTAAGAAAAAAAAAATCCTCACCCAAGGATATGTTTTTCATTGACTCTAGAGAGAGAGGAAAGGAGAGGGAGGGAGGGAGGGGAGGAGAGAGAGAGAGAGAGAGGGAGAGAGAGAGAGAGAGAGAGAGAGAAAGAGAAACATCAATGTGAGAGAGAAACATTGATTGGTTGCTTCCTGTGCGTGTCCTGACTGGGGATCAGACCCACAACTTGGCATGTGCCCTGACTGGGAATCACATGGGAGGACATACCAACCACTGAGCCACACTGGCCAGGGCAGTTGTTACATTTTAAAGCCACCATACAGTGGCCTTTCATTGGCCATGTTTTTTTTTATTTTCTGTATCTTGGATAATTTTTTCATAAGTTAGTATTCATAAGTGATGTACTCATTCATATTCATAGTGTTTCATTATTTCACATACATCATGTACGTGCTTTTTACAGTCTCTTACCACACGTTTCACTGTATTTGTGATGCAGGGCTGGTCTGCTTTTGTTACTGTTTCATATTTTTCCTTCACCAAACCCCACATTTCATCTCTTGAGGGGACGTATGTTGTCATCAGTCCGTGCACACAGTCACATGGGATTCACTTGACGTGTTGTTCATTCCCATGTGAAGTGCTTAAAGGTATAGTAAATTCTGTATTTGTTAAAGTTACTTTTTAAAAAGTGCTCTTGTTTTGTCCTGTTGAGAGAAGTGTGTAATGTTTCCTTTGTGTTTATGTGAAATGTAGTTTGCCAACCCAGACTTCATGGAGTCCATCTCGGATGTTGTTGACGAAGTGATACAGAACTGTCCCATCGATGTGCGCCGTCCGCTGTACAAGGTAGGAGCTGCTGGGGTAAGCTCCGAGCTCATTCCACAGCTACTGGCTGCCACCCTCAGGATAGGTCATTAACGTCGATATGCAGACTTTCCTGTTCCACCTCCTGTCTTACAGGATTTGTTAAAGGCCAGTGGAATGGCAAATTTTTTCTCTTGGAGTGGGGATGCCTTAGATGTTTGGAAGAATGACTCAGTAAACCAGAAGTATTAGTTCTAGTGTCTTTAATTCTCATCTGGCAAGCTATGCTATTTTAAATTGGACCCTTTTAACTGTATGTGTTGATTGAGAGAAAAGTGGTACTTCCTCCCTGATTTCCATGAATTCTACTGCTTTTGTTTGATGCGTATTTAGGTTTAGTGCCAGTGTGGTGTTGCCAGAAGCAGATAGAGCAACCAACTAGAAAATGCTCGTGTAATATTTTTTTCCAAAGTCTTTGGAGGGACTTTTGAACTTGAGAAAATGCTAATCCATGTAATTACAGGATAAAAGGAAATATTGCTGACTGCCAAATATTGAGAGCAGAAAGGGATGGTCAGTTAGCCGCCGTTGGAGCATTTAAACCTCTGCGTGAGGGGGTCATGCCTCATCCCAGCCTCAGGACTGCGTCTCCCCTTACTCAGGTCTAGGCAGCCGCATTTTACAGAGGAGGGACTCAGGCTCAGTAAAGAGGGCCCAATACATTTTTTCATCTATAATGGGTAGGGAACCTTTTTTCTGCCCGGGGCCATTTGGATATTTATAACATAATTCACGAGCCATACAAAATTATCCACTTAAAAATCAACCTATCATATTTGGTTAAACATTTAATTAACTTGCCCCTAATGCCTTGGCAGGACCAGACCGATTGATTTTGCAGGCCTTATGCAGCCCGTGAGCCGGACGTTGCCCACTCCTGATCTATAAGATGGAATACTATACAGCCTTTAAAAAGAAATAGGTAAATCAGTGTAAATGCAAATGAAAAGTTGTGAGAATATACTGATAGCTAGAAAAGCAGGTTGTAAAATTTGCACATAGTATTTCACTTCATATAGAAATATAGTTTGCATATTTATAGAAGCAAAGGTTCTGAATGATATATGTTAAACTTTTTTATTATATCAATTCTTTGATTTTTTTTTTTTTTTAGTCCTTTTCCTTTTCATCCATCCCTGCAGCCCCCCTCCCACCTGGCAACTGTCAAAGTATTCTCTGTATCTATGAGTTTGTTTCTTTTCTGCTTGTTCGTTTATTTTGTTTTTTTTTTAGATTCCACATATAAGTGAAATCATATGGCCTTTGTCTTCCTCTGACTTATTTTACTTAGCGTAATACCCTCTAGGTCAGGGGTGGGCAAACTTTTTGACTCGAGGGCCACAATGGGTTCTTAAACTGGACCGGAGGGCTGGAACAAAAGCATGGATGGAGTGTTTGTGTGAACTAATATAAATTCAAAGTAAACATCATTACATAAAAGGGTATGGTCTTTTTTTTTTTTTTTTTTTTAGTTTTATTCATTTCAAACGGGCCGGATCTGGCCCATGGGCCGTAGTTTGCCCACGGCTGCTCTAGGTCCATCCATGCCATCACATATGGTAAGATTTTGTTCTTTCTTATGGCTGAGTCTCATTCCATTATATATATGCACTACTTCTTTATTCTTTCATTTACTGATGGACATTTAAGTTTCTTCCAAACTATGTGATTATTGTAAAGAATGCTGCAGTGAACATATGGACACATGTTTTTTGGATTTAGTGTTTTGGATTTCTTTGGATAAATAACCAGAAGTAGAATTACTAGGTCCTTCTTTGTCTCTTGTCATATAGGCTTTGTTTTAGTCTATTTTGTCTGGTATAAGTATTGCTACCCAGCTTTTTTTTTTTTTTTTTTTTTTTTAATTAAATCTTTATTGTTCAGATTATTACATTTGTTCCTCTTTTTTTTCCCCCCATAACTCCCCTCCTCCCAGTTCCCGCCCCACCCTCCGCCCTCACTCCCCACCCACTGTCCTCATCCATAGGTGCACGATTTTTGTCCAGTCTCTTCCCGTATCTCCCACACCCCTTTCCCCCCCAGGAATAGTCAGTCCATTCCCTTTCTATGTCCCTGATTCTATTATAATCAACAGTTCATTCTGTTCATCAGATTATTTATTCACTTGATTCTTAGATTCCCTTGTTGATAGATGCATATTTGTTGTTCATAATTTGTATCTTTACCTTTTTCTTCCTCTTCCTCTTCTTAAAGGATACCTTTCAGCATTTCATATAATCCTGGTTTGGTGGTGATGAACTCCTTTAGCTTTTCCTTATCTGTGAAGCTCTTTCTCTGACCTTCAATTCTGAATGATAGCTTTGCTGGATAAAGTAATCTTGGTTGTAGGTTCTTGGTATTCATCACTTTGAATATTTCTTGCCACTCCCTTCTGGCCTGCAAAGTTTCTGTTGAGAAATCAGCTGACAGTCGTATGGGTATTCCCTTGTAGGTAACTGAGTTTCTTTCTCTTGCTGTTTTTAAGATTCTCTCTTTATCTTTTGCTCTTGGCATTTTAATGATGATGTGTCTTGGTGTGGTCCTCTTTGGATTCCTTTTGTTTGGGGTTCTCCGCGCTTCTTGGACCTGTAAGTCCATTTCTTTCACCAGGTGGGGGAAGTTTTCTGTCATTATTTCTTCAAATAGGTTTTCAATATCTTGCTCTCTCTCATCTTCTGGCACCCCTATAATTCTGATGTTGGTACGCTTGAAGCTGTCCCAGAGGCTCCTTACACTATCCTCGCATTTTTGGATTCTTTTTTCATTTTGCTTTTCCGGTTGGGTGTTTTTTGCTTCCTCGCATTTCAAATCATTGACTTGATTCTTGCGCTCCTCTGGTCTGCTGTCGGGAGTCTGTATAATATTCGTTATTTCAGTCCGTGTATGCTTAATTTCTAGTTGGTTCCCCAATATAAGATCGAGGGTCTTATTAGTTTTCTTGTAGATCTCATTAAGTTTATTGGCGGCTTCTAAACAGTTCTTGAGAGACCTTAAAAGTGTGGTTCTGAACTCTATATCTTCCATTGACAATTTTGTCCTGTTTCTTTGTCTCCGCATTTTGTTATGCTTCCTTGGTGCACCCCCTAGTGGTCTTTGTTCGCAGTCTTATAGTTAAATCTTGTTTGTTGTAGCTAATTCCAGGGAGGGTTTGACCTCCAGGCCAAGTGGCTATGAGAATCAGCTGTGTCAGCAGTGAGAGAACTTCTGTCCTCTAGGGAGGTGCTAATCTGGCGTTTGCCTGAGGCTATCCGGCAAATGCCTGTGTGCAGGGCTTGGGCGGGGCGGGTCGCACAGGATCAACAGGGTGGGCCGGAGGGAGCAGTTATGGCGGCTCTCAGTCCTGTCCCCAGGGGCTCTGCCTCTCTGAGTCCCAGCACCCGCTGCAAAGCTCAGAGAGAAAGCTGCACTCGCTCTGACCGAAGCCAGACAGTCCCGCTTCTCCCGTTTGAGTCTGGGTCCCTAAAGACTCGCCCGGATCTGGAGCTCAGAGTCTGCGACTCCCTCCCGATTGAAAACGCCAACCGCGCCCTCCGTCGCCAGCCCGCTCCGCGCACTCCGCACCTCAGAATCTGACTTCAGCTCTGCGCCTCCTCTGAGTGTCCGTATGCGTTTCTCTTTCCTCCTAGTTGTAGGACTTCCACTCAGCCAGCGTTCCTGTGGTTCTGGGTGATGTCCCTTCCGTTTTTTGGTTTCACTTTTGAAGTAGTTGTTCAAAGCAGCAAACTCCGGTGTTAACCTATGCCGCCATCTTGGTTCTCCCCCCAGCTTTTGTTTGTTTCCATTTTCATGAAATAATTTTTTCCATTCCTTTACTTTTAGTTGTATGTGTCTTTTAATGTGAAATGGGTCTCTTATAGACAGCATATATAAGGGTCTTGTTTTCTTATCCATTCAGCCTCCATATATCATTTGATTGGAGCATTTAATCCATTTGCTTTTAAAGTAATTGTTGATCGACATGTATTTATTGTCATTTTATTATTCATATGTTGGGTCTTTTTTTCTTCTTAAAGAAGACCTATTAACATTTCTTGTAATACTGGTTTTGTGTTGAGAAACTCCTTTAGTTTTTTTTCTCTTTTCTTTTTGTCTGGGAAGCTCTTTATCTGTCCTTCAATTTTCAGTGATAGCTTTGCTGGGTAGAGTGATTTTGCTATTCATCACTTTGAATATTTCTTGCCAATTCTTTCTGGTGTGCAAACTTTCTATTGAGAAATCAGCTGAGAGTTGTATGGGTGCTCCCTTGTATATAATTAACTGCTTTTCTCTTGCTGCTTTTAAGTTTCTCTCTTTGTCCTTAACCTTTGGCATTTTAATTAAGATGTCTTAGTGTGGACCTCATTGGGTTCATCTTGTTTGGGACTCTCTGTGCTTCCTGGACTTGTAAGTCTATTTCTTTCACCAGGAAGGGGGAGTTTTTCTCATCATTTTTTTCACATGGGGTTTTAGTTACTTGCTCTTCTCCTCGCACTCCTATGATGGGAATGTTGGTTGCTTGAAGTTATCCCAGAGGCTTTTTGTACTATCCTAATTTTTTTTTGCTTCTTTTTTCTTTTGCTGTTCTGATTGGGTATTTTCTGCTTTCTTATCTTCCAAATTGCTGATTTGATCCTCTGCTTCATCTGTTCCACCAGTGACCCCCAGACTTGATGTGGCTTCCTCTTTATATTCTTAGTTATAGGACTCTGTTCACCTAGATTTCAGGTGGTTTTCAATGATGGTTGTTCTGTAACTTAGTTGCAATTTTGATGTGGTGGTGCGAGGATACGAGTACCACCTTTACCTATGCTGCCATCTTGACCAGATTCTTCATATGCCAACCTCTTAAATAAAATGTCTTTGGGAGTGGCAGATGGATAACTTTTACTTTCTACTTTTTGTCTTTTAAAATTGTTTGAAGTTTTATAGTTAAAAACTGTTATTTTTATTAGTGGAAAAATTTTTTCTATATAGACAGCTATTTATGGTGAAAATAATTATAATTCTTTTTTTGTTTATTGCATATCCTTGAATGTCCTCCAGCAATATCCACAAGAAAGGAAAACTGAAGACAGACTGGATATTGAGGTTTAGTAAAACCGTCCACCTTGTTTTCCCCACTTCTAAGTCTCAGCATTAGCTGAGTTTTCTTGTCCGTGAGAGTGAGGAGCAGGTGTGGGCCTCTGGGTCTTCTTGTCCGTGAGAGCGAGGAGCAGGTGTGGGCCCCTGGTCTTCTTGTGCGTGAGAGCGAGGAGCAGGTGTGGGCCTCTGGGTCTTCTTGTCCGTGAGAGCGAGGAGCAGGTGTGGGCCCCTGGTCTTCTTGTCCGTGAGAGCGAGGAGCAGGTGTGGGCCCCTGGGTCTTCTTGTCCGTGAGAGCGAGGAGCAGGTGTGGGCCCCTGGTCTTCTTGTGCGTGAGAGCGAGGAGCAGGTGTGGGCTCCTGGTCTTCTTGTCCGTGAGAGTGAGGAGCAGGTGTGGGTTCCTGGTCTTCTTGTCCGTGAGAGCGAGGAGCAGGTGTGGGCTCCTGGTCTTTTTGTCCGTGAGAGCGAGGAGCAGGTGTGGGCTCCTGGTCTTCTTGTCCGTGAGAGCGAGGAGCAGGTGTGGGCCCCTGGCCTTCTTGTCCGTGAGAGCGAGGAGCAGGTGTGGGCCCCTGGCCTTCTTGTGCGTGAGAGCGAAGAGCAGGTGTGGGCTCCTGGTCTTCTTGTCCGTGAGAGCGAGGAGCAGGTGTGGGCTCCTGGTCTTTTTGTCCGTGAGAGCGAGGAGCAGGTGTGGGCTCCTGGTCTTCTTGTCCGTGAGAGAGAGGAGCAGGTGTGGGTTCCTGGTCTTCTTGTCCGTGAGAGCGAGGAGCAGGTGTGGGCCTCTGGGTCTTCTTGTGCGTGAGAGCGAGGAGCAGGTGTGGGCCTCTGGGTCTTCTTGTCCGTGAGAGAGAGGAGCAGGTGTGGGTTCCTGGTCTTCTTGTCCGTGAGAGCGAGGAGCAGGTGTGGGCCTCTGGGTCTTGTCTGTGAGAGCGAGGAGCAGGTGTGGACCTCTGGGTCTTCTTGTCCGTGAGAGTGAGGAGCAGGTGTGGGCCTCTGGGTCTTCTTGTCCATGAGAGCGAGGAGCAGGTGTGGGCTCCTGGTCTTCTTGTCTGTGAGAGCGAGGAGCAGGTGTGGACCTCTGGGTCTTCTTGTCCGTGAGAGCGAGGAGCAGGTGTGGACCTCTGGGTCTTCTTGTCCGTGAGAGTGAGGAGCAGGTGTGGGCTCCTGGTCTTCTTGTTTGTGAGAGTGAGGAGCAGGTGTGGGCTCCTGGTCTTCTTGTCTGTGAGAGCGAGGAGCAGGTGTGGACCTCTGGGTCTTCTTGTCCGTGAGAGTGAGGAGCAGGTGTAGGCCTCTGGGTCTTCTTGTCCGTGAGAGTGAGGAGCAGGTGTAGGCCTCTGGGTCTTCTTGTCTGTGAGAGCGAGGAGCAGGTGTGGGCTCCTGGTCTTCTTGTCTGTGAGAGCGAGGAGCAGGTGTGGGCCTCTGGGTCTTCTTGTCTGTGAGAGCGAGGAGCAGGTGTGGACCTCTGGGTCTTCTTGTCCATGAGAGTGAGGAGCAGGTGTGGACCTCTGGGTCTTCTTGTCCGTGAGAGCGAGGAGCAGGTGTGGGCCTCTGGGTCTTCTTGTCCGTGAGAGCGAGGAGCAGGTGTGGGCCTCTGGGTCTTCTTGTCCGTGAGAGTGAGGAGCAGGTGTAGGCCTCTGGGTCTTCTTGTCTGTGAGAGCGAGGAGCAGGTGTGGGCTCCTGGTCTTCTTGTCCGTGAGAGTGAGGAGCAGGTGTAGGCCTCTGGGTCTTCTTGTCTGTGAGAGCGAGGAGCAGGTGTGGGCCTCTGGGTCTTCTTGTCCGTGAGAGTGAGGAGCAGGTGTAGGCCTCTGGGTCTTCTTGTCTGTGAGAGCGAGGAGCAGGTGTGGGTTCCTGGTCTTCTTGTCCGTGAGAGTGAGGAGCAGGTGTAGGCCTCTGGGTCTTCTTGTCTGTGAGAGTGAGGAGCAGGTGTGGGCCTCTGGGTCTTCTTGTCTGTGAGAGTGAGGAGCAGGTGTAGGCCTCTGGGTCTTCTTGTCTGTGAGAGCGAGGAGCAGGTGTGGGTTCCTGGTCTTCTTGTCTGTGAGAGCGAGGAGCAGGTGTGGGTCTCTGGGCCTTCTTGTCTGTGAGAGCGAGGAGCAGGTGTGGGTCTCTGGGCCTTCTTGTCTGTGAGAGCGAGGAGCAGGTGTGGGTCTCTGGGCCTTCTTGTCTGTGAGAGCGAGGAGCAGGTGTGGGCTCCTGGTCTTCTTGTCTGTGAGAGCGAGGAGCAGGTGTGGGTTCCTGGTCTTCTTGTCTGTGAGAGCGAGGAGCAGGTGTGGGCCTCTGGGTCTTCTTGTCTGTGAGAGCGAGGAGCAGGTGTAGGCCTCTGGGTCTTCTTGTCTGTGAGAGCGAGGAGCAGGTGTGGGTCTCTGGGTCTTCTTGTCTGTGAGAGCGAGGAGCAGGTGTGGGTCTCTGGGCCTTCTTGTTGGTGAGAGTGAGGAGCAGGTGTGGGTCTCTGGGCCTTCTTGTTCGTGAGAGTGAGGAGCAGGTGCGCTCCAGGGTCTTCCCTGTGTCCTCCTGGACATGGATTTCTGTCAGTGGCTATGAGTTGCTCAGGATGGGGTGAGCGTTTTCTCCTTTGACAGGTGGATGGATGGCCTTCCTCTTCCCAGTGGGTGTGAGCCTGTCATGGAAAGAACCTCCACCTGATCCTCTGTGACGTGCACAGGTGTTCGGGGTGGTGGATTTTTAGAGTTTAGAACCCTCTTCTTGTGGGAGACACTGTCCTGCAGAACACGCTGCCCTCTGCTCTGAGTGGCGCCTTCACCTGTCCTAGGGCCTGCCCTCCCTCTCCTGTCACTCTGGTACTGTCATTCCTTTCTCTGCTACTGATGTTCTTCTTCCTGCCAGGCCTACGCTTGTCTGTGGCACAGGTACCTGCCTGGGCTTACAAAGCATTCAGTGGTCTGGCTGGTGTGATACAGTGGTTGAGCATCGACCTATGAACCAGGAGGTCATGGCTGGATTGCTGGTCAAGGCACATGCCCAGGTTGCTAGTTTTATCCCCAGTGGGTGGAGGGCGTGTGTGCAGGAGGCAGCCAATCAAGGATTCTTTCTCATCATTGATGTTTCTCTCTCTCTCTCTCTCTCTCTCTCTCTTTCTCTCTCTCTCTCTCCCCCCTCCCTCCCTCTCTTCCTCCCTCCCTCCCTCCCTCTCTCTCTCCCTTCCTCTCTTAAATCAATAAAAAAAGCATAAAAACAAAACAAAACAAAGACAAAGCACTCAGTGGATCAGGGAGGAAGTAGGAAGTATGGTCCAGACCCAGAGGAAGTTATGAGTGCCAAGGGGACGCAGCATACCTGCTGAGCCCTGACCAGCCAGGTGAGGCACCCTCCACGAGAGCGGGCACTGGTTCCTGCCCCTGTCATCACGTGCTGCCCTGTGGTCCCCACAGCCTCTTACGGCAGCTGTGGTGTCCAAATTGGTTGTAGTGGGACCCCGGAGACCCAGCAGGGGGGAGTTCCGGACCAGCGCCATGGTGCCTAGGTCTGCTGTTTGGGAGACCGGCCAGCAAGGACTTCCTATCTGCAGACTCGTCCGGACCCTTGTGTGGGTTGTCAGGGTTGGGGAGTCAGAGGAGGCTCATGGTGGGCCCTGTGGTGGCAGCTGATGCCTCGTTGTGAATTAGCACCTTGCCCAGGCTGGTGGTGGAGGAGTGAGAATAAAAGGTGGCTTTGAACTTTAGAATCTGGAGAAAAGCAGAAGTTTATTTTTCAAAGAAAGTAGTCATACCCTAATTTTCATTTCATTCTGGACTATAGATAAGAAGGCTGCCTACAGCCTCTTTGTAGGGAGGTCGGGGCCTGGAGGGGCTCGTGTGTGACAGGCCTATGACATCCCCAAAGGCCAAGACATTGCCAGGAGCAGGTGCTGCTTGAGCCCTGGCTGCCTGTGGGCATCACCCTCAGGAGTGTCAGAGTGGACACATGCCTGGTCCCACCCCCAGAGATGCTGGTGTGGTCGGGCTGGGCCTGGACCCCAGTGTTTGGAGCTTCCGGGTGACTGTGAGGTGCAGCTAAACTGGCGGCACTGGTAGCAGCTGGCTTCGTCTTGGTGTTGTCGCTTTACTGCTGTACTTGCCGGCAGGGCCAGTTTTGCGTTGCTTTGTTGTGGAATTGCTGTTGGGGGCCAGATGTAAGCTGGCAAGGTCCTTGCACCTGCAGGGGCTAGCAAGCCCGGTACCCTTACCCACACAGTTTTCCCAGACTTGTTTGGATGGCGGTTATCAGTAGAATGAGAGCAACATTTGTAGAATGAGAACAGCCTTTCATAGCTTGCCAAGAAGTCTGTAACTATTTACTGAGATAATGCTGTACTGAGAACTTGTCCTTCTGCTATATCTCTCCCTTAGAGATTAAGAGGAACAAAGAATACATTCCTCTTGACAGACCCCCGATTCAGTGTGTTGTGTATAAATAGGATTGTATAGCTAATAAACTCGCTTCAGTTCATCAAGAGAACTGGGGTCTTCCCGACCCCACTTTCCTGTTTTTTTTTCTTTTCTCAATTCCCACCTCCCTGCCTCAGCCTGGCTCAACCCTGTCAGGCTGGCCCTGACAAATTGCATGTCTTCATTCCTGAGTTCTGGTCCTCAGATATCCGCGCACCTGACAGACCACAGCACGATCATAGCCAAAGCAGAGGATTTACGTGTGTAGGAGAGATAGTCCTTGTCCTCTAGACCTTAAAAAAAGCTAAAAATAATACTGAAATAATTCTCATGGGAATCACTACCGGCCACATGTCACTCAAGTGAGCCATGCAAAGTGTGATAATCGAGAGAAGGGCAGACTGAGCTGAGTCTGCGGGCTTGGCCTGCAGAGGGGGAGGGGCCTGGGCCTGGGGGAGGGGCCTTAACCCAGACAGAGCAGGCGAGCAGGCAGAGGTTTCAGAAGTCTGTTCTGGTGGAGCCAGGCACGGGAGGCAGGAACCACTGGGGGGCGGGCCCAGTGCCAGGCCGCCTCCACGCCTGTCCCCACTATTCCTGCGGAGCATCACGCACAGCAGGGCTGTGTGTTTC